GCATTAGCAACTCATAGAGTGCTCCACCTCCAACTTGGGAAAAAGGATAGTGAGGAAGGAAAGTGACACAACTCCTATTATCAGCTTAATCTTTTCCTCCCCCAGCCCTTGTTTCTTCCACCTTTTCCTTACAAAACCCTGATGATGAGTTTCCAAGTTAGACCCTGCAAGAACAGGCACATTCTTTCCTTTGTATGTAAATGTAAGGCTTCCTGAAAGGGTTTCCACCTAGGGTACTGCCATGATGGGGGATAATAATAATAATAATAATAATAATAATAATAATGAACAAGTTTGAGCATATCAAATACCAGGCATATGCTAAGTGTCTTTACATGGCTAATCTCATTTAGTTCTCTCAACAGTTGTAAGAAGTAAGGAATCTCAATAAGGACACTGAAGTTCAAAAAGAATAAGAATTTGCTTCAGTCTCAAACTAGTGAGTGGAAGATCCCAAATTCAAACTCAGACAGCTTGACTCCAGACTTACACTCTTAACCAGTCTAGCCTTGACTAATGTTATACCTGACAGCAGTTTCTGTGGCCCTGCCCAAGCCCCCCTTCTTTACTTAAATGTGGAAGATAAAGATGGCATTGGCTCTACCCCTTCTTACTTAAACAAGAAAAAATCATTACAAATTAGAGTGAGGGACATTCTGACTCCATTGTGGTAGGGATTCAATATTGATGGGTCATCAGTTAGCTCTCTGTACCTGTCCAAGTCATGAACTTGCTGTCAGTGCAAGAAGCCCACAGTAGCACCTTGATAATGTATGAACAAAGGGGTGAAGTCAGGTGGCCATGCATCAGAAAGGTTGCAGAAGAGTCTAACTTCTCTTTGGTGGTGGATATTTGGGTGCTATCTATGGTCTGTCTGAATTCTGTGATTGAGTAAAATGAACAATCTCAACTTCAAGATGTATCCACATCCATGGTAATTGTACAATGTTTTCCTATTATTTTAGCAAGCTAATTGGATGAAGAGGTGAAGATTTTAATACAAATGCCCATTGTGCTGTTTCACAGGTACTTAGCTTGAAAGGGGTTTAAAGTTTATGTTTATACAGTGTTTCAGAGAGTACTATATTATCTCTAAAATAAGCAACACAACTTAGATGAGACTTTGCAATTTTAAAAATTTAAGTTGAATGAAATCCAGATCAGCTATTTAGTTGTTGACATAGAATCATTACAAGGCAAGTAGCAGGGATCTTTAAAAATGATGTTCGTAAAAATTCTTTCTAACTCAGCCTGTGTAATTTTGTGTTCTTAGTGATAAAATACAGTTGTATCAATTTTGACCAGGAATTTTAAAAGTTTTTTTTTTTCACCTTGAGGCAGCTGATGGTAGAGGGAGCATTATGTCCATTAACATTGACTTTGGAGCAATACAGCCTGGGTTTCGATCTTGGTTCCACTATTTACTAACTGTTATGACTATGGCAAATTACTAACCTCACTTTGCCTCAGTTTTCCCATCCAGAGAATGGGAATAATAAAGTACTTATTCTTTGGGTTATCGTAAGGAGTAAATAAATGAAAATATGTAAAGTTCTAGAACAGTGCCTGCACATGATATATGCTCTATATGGGATTGCTTTTATTATTGTTATAGTACCACAAGGGACTTCTATTGCTACTCAGTGGTTTTTAGGATGTATGGCGGTTTTTGTTATTAGGTGAAGAATTCCCTGAGATCCTTGGGGTGTAAGACTTAGAATAGTATGTGCAGTTTTATTTATAATCCCCCAAGGATCCATAGGCCACTTATACTGCAGCCTTCCTGTATGTATTCACTCCCATGTGGACTCACTGCTCTTCTCTCCTTTCAAAGGAAGCAACTTCCTGGGCGGAGGCAGCCGGGCACCCTGGCCCAACTCTGACAACTAGATATGGCGCGAGTATTCTCACACAATAACATCTGCTGATATCCACATTGGCTAAAAACATAAGTTCTATGTTCAAGTCCCACTGTGTTATTTTGCTTACTTTGTTGCCCAGGGCAAGTTACTTAACTGCTTTGTGCCTCTGTTTTCCATCTCTATGATGGGAATAAGAATCATCCCTACTTCCTTGTGTTGCTATGGTGGTTAAGTGGGGTAACATATGCAAAGTCAAGAAGATGCCTTGTATATAGTGTATGTTGAATGAACTGGAAATCTTTTCTCTGTGGATGATTGGTGACTCACTGGAGAAAAAAAAATCAAGGATGAATTATGGTTAATAATGGTAAATTAATGAAGTCTAAAAAATATTAATAATTCTAATTATTGATTTTATAGATGAAGAAAGATCCATGGACTAACTCAATTTGAAATTAATGACTATGATTATTTACATTTTATTTATTCTTATTTTATTTTAAATTTAAAAATTTTTCTCTAAATGTGAAGAATTTAGTCATTTATTACTTATATATAACACCCAGTGCTCATCCCAACAAGTACCCTCCTTAGTGCCCATTACCCTCCCCTACAGCAACCCTCAGTTTGTTCTCTGTATTTAAGAGTCTCTTATAGTTTGCCTCCCTCTCTCTTTTTATCTTAAAAAATGATGTAGTGATACAGATGGAATGGAACCTCACACTTGGAAAGAGCTCCCATGTACACTTATTCCAACCACCCCTCCCATGCACATATCCTCCTAACTTTTTCTCAGATGCTTAGATGGTCCTATGCTCTAAAGGTGAAGGGAATTCAATTTTGCTCCACTGGTCTCTGGGTCTCTCCCATATGTGATGGTCTATCCCACAACAGGTGCTTTTCCCAGCATTTGAGACATGGGAAGACTGCCCCTTATGATCATTTTCTGTTAAGATGGTTTGTTAGCATTGGCATATCCAGTATGTTTTGACACTTAGCTTTTCAGGTCTTACCATGTGCTGGTCACGGCCAACAAAATTGAGTGAACTGACAGCGATGTGCTCTTGTATTCTTGGGCCAGCTGCTCCATAAAAAGCAAAACAGATCCAGTATACATGTTTGTTGGGTAGGAAGTTTGGAGGCAGAAAACATAGATCTAGAGAAGATCTGGGAAATGACCCAGACATCAGAAATGATCCAGAGTGTTTAAAGGATTTGACCACAGGGATTGAGCTAGTTGATGTGAGCATAAAGAGTTCTTTCCACTCTCTCTCTCTCTGGTTCTTCAGCATAATGATTAGAAATGTAGCCTTTAGAGACAGGCTACCTTGATTCAAATCTCCATTCTACCCCTTATTGGAAGTATTATTGTCAGCCGTTGTAGACATCTCTATCTCAGTTTTCTCACTTGGAAAAAGAGAACAATAATGGTGTTTCATGTATATTCTGTGAGCTAATATGTGTAAGCACTTAGGACAGTTCCTGGCACATAAAAAACAAACAAATAAGTGTTTGTTATTACTACATATCTTCTTAACAAACTCAGAAATATCAATTCTTAAATAAGAGAATAAATGTTTTGATCAGGCTGGTACTTAAAGTATTTTCTCTCACTTACAAAATGGCTTTATAATTTCTTCTTAGCTTCTGAATCAGATGGAATCTTCAGGACACATCTGTGAATTAACAACCATACCCTTCCTCAGAATTACTATATGACTTTTGGATTGGAGGAGCAAATCTCTAAGAAATAATTCCTGTTATTTATTGTTTCCAATTTACTTTCAGCAAATATTTACAGAGTAGCCTCCCATGTGCCTGGCATAGAGATAGGGTCTTGAGGGATACATAGGTGGGTGGTCTGCTGTGCCCCTTACTCTCCTGATGTGTGCAGGCTAGGTGGAATGGTTGGAAATTAAATAGGTAAATCTGTCACAAAGCCGGAGGGAGCACTGATAGGGCAGGACTGAGCTCATGGAAGAAGCCGTGAACCTTATTTAAGGGATCAGTGAAGGGCTTTCTGGAAGAAGTGATGTCTATGGCAAGTCCTGATGATGAGCTAGATTCTTGACTAGTCTAGAGGGCTAGAGGAAACTAGTCCAGGCACAGGGAACCCTGGGTGAGTGTGGCCCCCCCCCCCCCCCCCCCCCCCCCGCCAGAGGTGCTCAGGCTTGGAGAAAGCATTACATCTTCATCAGTTTATTCAATATTTAACAAGTGTTTGTTAAGCACTTTCTATGCAACAGACATTGTTTTACATAATGAAGAGACATCAGGTAACAAAACAGGTGATGTCTTTATTTTCATGAAAGTCATAGGGGAGAAGAGAGAAATAAAGAGAATTGCTTAAGGTGGGGCAACGGGGAAGGGTTTAGTGGAGCTGACACCTCGGTGGTGAGAGGACAGGAACCAGCCAGGTAAATACCAGGGCAGGAGAGTTCCAGGTAGAAGGAACATCAAAGGCAAAGAACTCAAAGGGAAGAACTATCTTCGCTTATTGTAGAAGCTGAAAGGACCAGTGGACTGATATGGACAAAGTGATATAAATAGGTCAAAGGGTATTTGAGTTGGGTCGTTGGTGCTGAGAAAGGCATCGGAACACAATAATATAAGCTAGTTTTGTTTTGTTTCATTTAAATTACATATACTACTATGGGTGTCTCTTCAAAACTAGGATACTTTTGGAAGATCTCAGTTGCAAGTAGGTCTGTTCTGGAGTGGGGCTTGGCTCTTTGTGTTTTAATAATAGAAATGAGGCTAAGAGCATATTTTCTGTCATCATTGACTAGAATGAATGTAAATCAAATGTCCTGTTCCCAGTTACAAGCACGTCAGCAACACAAGAAATCAGCAGGGCCTCCCTGCTCAACAAGAGGTCTTATTATGTCAATTAGGGGCGTCCCAATGTTTCCTCCCGGGTTCTAGTCATATATTTCTACTTGCCCTCGTAAGCTTTCTTTTCCTGTTTTATTCCTTTGGGCTCAAATTTGTGTTTCAATAAATGCTCTAAAATCTTTCTGCCTGGTGTGGGCTTGCTTTATCCAGACTCCTCATCCATGTTCTTCTGTTTCTCCAAATTACCTATCTCTGTATTATTGTGGGCCCCCCATGAAACTCATGGCTCTTGTTTGCTCCCAGTTAACAGCTTTGGAGATGATGAAGAGCCATGCACATCTTCTGACAGTGATGAGGAGGTGATCAAACAATTTGAGATTTCTGTGTCCCGGTCCCAGAGTTTTCGTTCAGAAGCATCTAAGAAAGGCACACAGGTGGGATTGGAGCAGAAATCAAAATTCAGCCACCTGCTCTCTACCCATGAAGAGGATAACACAGAAGTGTCTGCCTGTGAAGGTATTTGCATGAAACCCTTCCTTTATCTAGAGCAGGGATGGACAATCGTAAGAACAGCTCTGAGTCACTTGATTACTACACTTGTATCTGAGGCTCCAGAGACGAAAAGAAAAGGGGGCGAGACCCAGAGGCTGAAACAGAGTAGAGGGGGTCTTACCAACCTCACAGAGGGGCTGTCATGCAGGGAACTGGGAGGAATGAATAAGAAGTGCCAAAATCCTTACCCCTGATTTGTGGGACCCCTTCCTTCCTTTTAGGTTATCATTTTGTATATTTTTAACACTGATGGCTAGAATTAGAATGGTATTTATGAAGCTTTATAAAATCTTGTCCTCTTCTGATAAATAGAAACATTTCACATACCTGTTTGCTGACCTTGAGATTCTGTCATTTTTCTCTCATTTGGAATCCTAGAGTCTATTTTCCATATATGTATATGACCTCAGAAAAATTTTTGGAAACTTTCTTTTAGTAGTTGATGTTCTTAAAACAATATGTGTGTTTTATCTTTCAAATAAATATATGTTTTACAATAATATCAAATAGCCTTTTTCAGATAACACATACCTTGTACATTTGTCCTCATTTTCTGTAGTTTCTACCCTCCCCCCCGCCCCCCATCCTACCCCTCTGTTTCCATCCTCTGCCACATGAGAATTGCTTGCTGGGCAAGAGCAAAGTGTTCTGCCATTCTCTGATGTCTTCAGACTAAGTACCTTCCACAAAGCGGAGGGAATAATACTCTGAAGTAGATCAGCACAGCCTGTGAATTGTTATAGTAGGTAGACCTTGTTAAGAGTCCTCCTCCTATCCCCCCATGTACACAAAATAACCTGGAGAAAGAACGGTGCATTATTTCTTAGTGCTTTTCTAGTGAAGGTCAGGGATCTCTCTGAGTCCTTTATGCCTGGAACCCTGAATAGGCATAGGCTATTGAAACAGGGAAAGGTCTATGAATTGTAGTTGGTAAAAAGCTAGAGAAAAAGAACATTGTCCACTTTAGTGACCCAGTCTAAATGACCTGAGTTCTCTAATCTTTTCCTTCTTTCCTTTGGACATGTGATTACTCAAACCAATGGAGGCATAGTTGCAGGTCTTCCATATTTTTCCACACTTAGCAATAGAAAGAGAAAAACGAGAGCCTGGGATTGAGAGAAGGTAACAGAGAAGAAATTTCTGACTTGACAAGGTGGATAAGGCTGGCCAAAAAAAGAACAGCAACAAAGAATATACAGGAAAAACCTTATTCTTCAGCAGAAATATAACAATTTGCTATCCACCATGTAATTTTACTTACTGATATGAGCCACATAACATATTTTATTGCTATTCCTTTTAGCCCAAGGTAAGAGAAAAAATAAATGCGTGATGTAACCAAAGCATGGTAGCGGTAGCTACTGCCCTCCGTCATTTCCTTACTCCCTCTCTTGTTTTTTCTTTTGCTGGTGTTACATCACAGCCTTCCCCTCTTCCACCAGGAGGGCAAATGTTAGCTAATGAAAGTTAATAGCAGTTGATTCCCTGGGAGCAGCGTGTTGCATTCAAAAGCTAATGGCCCCATTTCCCAGAAGCCCAAATGTCTAGTTTCTGATTTATACAAATGGCTCCTTTTCTGAGAGTTCTGACAAACATTCCAAACTTACCCTTTCTGGAATTAGCAATAACCTCAATTATAACTGGGGATTCTGAAATTTTTGACAGATAGTGACAGAAAAGATAAAATTGCTTTCGCTATTGGAGGGAGGGAAAAGCATACTGCATTGGATAATGCAGTAAATTATTTGTAGATTTTGAAGAAAATCAGGATTTTCATAGGAAGGGATAACTGCATGCTAAATTTTAGGTTATCAAATGCCATGGAAATGTTAATGTAATTTTTATTGCATGATGTTTTTTTCTGTGTCACTTCTTTTTGTTCGTCTTTAGATCAGTGAATTATTTTCCAGCAAGAAAGAATAAGGAAGAGATTAAGCATTCATCCCAGAGAAGATTTGTGCATTTCTTGTCTGTTCTGCATCTACTTAGCTTTTTTTCACTCTACCTTTTTTATTTAAAAAATTTTTTTTTAATGTTCATTTATTTTTGAGAGAGAGACAGAGTGAGCAGGGGAGGGACCAAGAGAGAGAAGGAGACACAGAATCCAAAGCAGGCTCCAGGCTCTGAGCTGTCAGCACAGAGCCCAATGCGGGGCTCGCGGGGCTTGAACCTACAAACCGTGAGAACATGACCTGAGCTGAAGTTGGAGGCTTAACAGACTGAGCCACCCAGATGTCCCTTTCACTCTACCTTAAACATGATTTTCTAAGATAAAATTTAATTGTAGACAATTCTTACACTTTAAAAATATGTTCAAAATGTTCAACCAGTGAAAGTAAAGGTTTCATGTTTCAAGTGAGGTTCTTTATTCTAGATGGAATAGTGAGGTTATTAGAACCAAGAAAATGCTATCTTCATGTTCCTGGCACGTTCTCTCTTGTTTCACTTATCTGACTTAGTGTGGTACATTGATTGACACTGTCTCCCCAGTAATGTCAAAGAGGGTTTACATGAAGTGATCCACCTCGGATCTGAGATATATATAGATATATAGATATATATATCTATATATCTATATATATATATATATCTATATCTATATCTATCTCAAGATGATATTGGGGTGCCTGGCTGGTTTAATCAGAGCATGCAGCTCTTGATCTCAGGGTCATGAGCTCAAGCCCCACATGGGGGTAGAGTTTATATAAGAATAATCTTTTTAGGGGCGCCTGGGTGGTGCAGTCGGTTAAGCGTCCGACTTCAGCCAGGTCACGATCTCGCGGTCCGTGAGTTCGAGCCCCGCGTCGGGCTCTGGGCTGATGGCTCAGAGCCTGGAGCCTGTTTCCGATTCTGTGTCTCCCTCTCTCTCTGCCCCTCCCCCGTTAATGCTCTGTCTCTCTCTGTCCCAAAAATAAATAAACGTTGAAAAAAAAATTAAAAAAAAAAAGAATAATCTTTTTAAGGTGATATCAGGGTGATATATATATCAAGAGATTTATTGCAAAGAATTGGCCTATGCTATTACTGAAGCTGGCTAGAGAAATATAGAGCTCTGAAATCCACAGGTAAAATTTCTCTGTGTCCAGAGAGGCCTCAGTTCTCCTCTTAAGGCTTATGTAGGATAATCTCCATTACTTAAAGTCAACTGCTTAAGGGCTTTAGTCACATCTATAAAATACTTCCATAGTATCACCTCAATTAATGTTTGATTAATTAATTGAAGCCTATAGCTTGGCCAAGTTGACACATAAAATTGACCATCATCGTAGATGGTGAGAAAAAGTATTTGTTTGTGTGTGGGTGGTGGTGGGAGGGAAGGGTTTGGGAGTATAAAATAAAGTAACTGGATAATAGGGTTATGCCATGGCAAGGTGGGATATGCATTAAAAAGTGCAAAAAAGTTTTCTGCTAAAATAAATATGGTTTATGTGACATAATTATGGCCTATAATTTCTAGGAAGCTAGGACACATTTCTCTGACAATAGGCAATTACTTTCCTGTATGTGTTTAAGGTGACATGATCTTCCTTAACTTACAGGATGGGAAGATGGCTTTATGTGATGGTGAATCCTGTTTCTTTCTCCTTCTCCTTGTGACTTGTACCCTAGCTTTGCTTTTCTAATTCAGTCCTTGCTTGTCTGTCAAAGAAAATGGTTTGTTACATTAATATGGTTCTTATGTTTTTCGGTTATGAATAGCTTTTCAAGGTTTAATGTAGCTTTTGAAAATTCCCTTATTACTGATCTAGGTATTATCACTGTAGGAGTTAAAGTCATGAGACAGTTTTATAGGGGTAATTTCTTGGCAAAGTTAGACTTTGTGCTGAAATCCTGCTGGGTGCTACACACGTTGATGGATGACCCACTGTTTAATAGGACATTTTAGTGTTCATGTATATGAGGAATGGATGTGCTAATTAGAGCCTTAGAAGAAAATTCTGCTTTATGTTGTAGGATTTTGCATATGGAGTATCTCTCGTTCTGTCATTTTCTGTGGCCTTTTTAAAGTGTGTTTGCCAAATAACTGAGTGTGTGAATGTAAAAATGTTATGGTGTCCTATGAAAGTGTTTCCAAGGGACTGCACTGAATTATTAAGAATAACAAGGCAGATAGGGGAACTTCTCAGTGGATTGCCATGGTGTTGCAAAATCCCAAATCAGGAGTCTGAAGTTGGGCTCTGAGTACCAAGACCACCTAAAGATGTTTTTGTATAGTCTGCATAGGGTGATAATATAATTTTAAGTTTGCATGTTTACTGCAGGTGAGTCATAAACTGTCTGGTAAACTACTGTCACCACTATTCCATATTGCTGCACACCTGGATGCTTCAATTATTTGTTACCTGCCTAGCCTGGAAAGTTGTTTGAGGGTTTAGTGAAACCCACTGGTGGATAAAGACTAGAATGTATTTGTATGTGGCTTAGTACCTTCAAGGAGCTTATATTCTCACTGAGGCTTTAAGACCAACAGCTGAAACGATTGCTACCACACAATGTGTAAATGAGAGCTGAATTTATCATCTCTACTTTGTCATCCCACTCACTCATCCCATCTCTATCTCTAATTTTCTCTTATCCTGGGATTGTGGCTTCTGGAGGAGATTGGAGACCAAAGAGAGAATACGTCATTGAGAGGAAAGTCAGGGTGAAAACTATTGCTTTGGAAGACTCTGACAGTTTTTCCTTACTGTCCGAAGGTAACCTAGACTTTAAAGAAGAGGAAGGGGATGCACAGATGATGCAGGGCTGAAAGAGAAAACAGAATAACACCAAGGTCAGGGGAAAACACTGAGTCCAAGGAGTCAGGGAAGATTCAGGAGTTATTGGACTTTGGATGGAAAGAAAAGATGAGAGGAGAGGGGGTTTGGGGACCATCGTGAAAAGAAATACACAACTTGTGTTTTCATGATGAGCCCATGAGGCCACAGGTGACAGCAAGGTGGGAGGCAATAGAAAATTGGGGTTTATAGGGTTGGAGGAGGCTAGTTTGGGTCAGACAAACAAGCAAGGCTACTATTTATCGAAAACCTAGTGGCTGCCAGGTGGATATTATTTCATGTGCCCACATGACTCTGTGATGGCTCTTATCATCATTTTATGGATAAGAAAATAAAAGTTCGGACAGTCCAAATATTGTGTAAATTCTTAACACAGAGCTAGGTTTTAAACACAGATCATCTGAATCCAAGTCCAGTGTTCCATGGATCAAGTAAAGAATTTTTTACTTGAGAGAACCACTGAAGCCTTTCAAGGAGAGGGTAAGATGGTGAATGTGGAAGAGAGAAAGAAGAATCCTAGAGTCAGGAGACAGTATGATCTCCATAGTAGATTGTTGTTCTCGCTTTCTAGATCTATCCCCAAAGTCTTGTGTTCGTTAGTTCTGACAAAATGCTAATGTGTTTTTTTTTTTTATAAGCACACATCCTTTATATTCATACTGTTAGAAAGTATTAAACCTTTGTATATTCCGTGTAATGAACTAATGGTCTTTTTGGTTATCTAGACCAAGTTTATCCACTCTGTGGATAGAATTATATTTCTGTAGGTGTTATTTGATGGGTTTTGTTTTTGAGATTTTTTTACTTAGAGAGAGAGAGAAAGAGAATCTTAAGCAGGCTCCACACCCAGCATTGAGCCTGACATGGGGCTTGATCTCACGACCTTGAAATCATGAACTGAGCCTGGTGACTGAGCCACCCAGTGCCTCTGTTTTTGAGATCTTGATTTGTGTTGTTGCTACTGCTCAACTTCTCTAGGTAAAAAGGTGTAAAATAATAATACGTTTGAAATAGTCTCCTTATTGCACATTTAGGTTTGGATGGAGCCAGCCAACCAAACTATTCTGAGACTCTGTCTTATGGTGAAGATGATCCCATCTCTGCCCATTCACAGTCCCCATGTGAGGTGGGAAACACCAGGCACCAGGGTGCATCTCCCCAAGAGACCAGTGTGCCTCGCAGCCTTAGTCGCCAGTCCACAGAAGGCAGCTTGGAATTGGAGACAGCTTTTAATAACCGGGGATTTGAAGACTCCTATGCTACTGACAGCAGCTCCATGTGGAGTCCAGAGGCAAGTTATTTGTTTTCCATTCTTTCTTTGCTTGAGTATTGGGTGCTCTCTCGTGAGTTCTTGCTTTCCTCTTCCTGCTCATGTCTTAAGAAAAAAATTTCTCCAGAAAGGAAGCAATGCCTTGAAAAACAAAGACCTAAAGAGCCTTTATTTATAAGAAATAAAAATTTTTCAGGTGACTAAGTCACAGCTCCTATGTATACCAATAAAAGAATCAGAAATAAATTTCTATCAAAGTGGGGGGAAAAAAGAAGAGTGACAGAATGGACCCAGCAGCAATCAGGCTTCTTGTTTATATAAAAGATTTTTTAGTTCTTTAGAGAAGACTGGTTTATTTCCTTCATGGTTTCAATTAAGTGGAGTCGATTTTTATTTACTCCAATCTTGAGTTATAATTATTTGAATATGAGAATTACTTGAAAATTAAACTAAAATACAGTGGCCCTCCAAATGAAATGATGCAAAATATGATGAATATCTTGCAGTATAAGTATGTTTGTTAGATTTGCATTGAATTCAAGATCTAGGAGATGGCATTAGTTTGTGATGACCCTCTTGCCATTGACTTTGCTTTTTGGAATAAACCTCTGATAAAAGATGCTCCTTCTAAATTTATTTTTTAATTAAAACTTACTCCAGAATATTCCTAACCACCCAGAGGTATGATTGGAGGTGATTATTACAGACACTACCATTTATTGAGCAATTACTATGTGCCAGGCACTGTGATAAAGATTTTACAAACATTATCGTATAGGCATTTATAGTTATTCTTTATTAGCTAGATGTCTTTTATTATGATTCTATAACATTAGGAGATATTAAATAATAATGTCTACTGCCTACTTTGAAATTAATTTTGATGAAATATGTAATATATGTATATAAAATATTCATATAATTTGTGGGGCAAGAGGAAGGAGAAAAGTGAATGGATTTTGTTAACATCGGTCTGGTTGAGAAAATAACCAGGTGGAAGCTCTTAGAAGGACCTGGACTGTCATACACACCAGATGCTCATCAAGGAGAAGGAAAAAAAGTCACAGAAAATAATGTTCCAAAGTCTTATAGTTGATGCACTGGGGTGTATAGATAGAGCATAAGGAGGTGTGTGTGTGTGTGTGTGTGTGTGTGTGTGTGTGTGTGTGTGTATGTGTGCGCCCACATGTTGGTGTCATAGCTGAGGATGAGAAACAGTAACGCAGATACATGGTTTGTGGCTTGTCAAGGGCAGTCCTACATATAGAGACACCCAAAGCTATTAACCGTATAAGTTTTGGGAAAAATTTATGCTTCCCAGTTGATTTGCTGCTGACAAGTCCTATCAAATCCCACACAATAACATTGAATGTTTAAAAATATTCTTTTTGGATTCTCACACAAAAACAAAACAGAAACCATTTACCTGCCTATTGATACTCTGTCCTCTTGATAATTGCTCCCTCAGGCTTGGAATTGCCAGGTAACCTCCCATCTGCCTGACTCACAGAGCTGTAATAGAAGACTTGGTGTTGAGAGCACTAAATGTTCTCAGACTCCAAAAATACCCAGACATCTCTGTGTGCTCCATTCAACCTCCTATCTATTTTGAGACAAAAACTGTAATTTGGTGCTCCTACAGTAGAACCTCAGATGCGGCTCGGAGGCAGTTCCTGTAACTGCCTGCTTTGCAGGCTTAGCTTGCCTTTTAAGAATTGATTTATTTGCCTCTTAACTGTATTAAGAACCCAGTCTTCCCCTGTGTATCTGGCATCAGGAACATATTGCAGGTCTGTTTACTTTGGGCCACACAGATGACATCAACACTGTCTTACTAAAACACAAAGGCTTTCAATTTGATAGAAAATCTTTAAACCTACGAGGGTTTTGACAACGTGGCACAAGTATTCCCATCTTCGAGAAAAATCAGGATCTTAGAGCTAAAGGAATCATTTCTTTTGCCTTAGAAGGAAACCAGTCATACAGTGTGACTGCCCTTTAGGCTGATGGATTTTTGAGCACCGCTCTTCTCTGCTGGAAAAGGCCGTCAACTTTTTCCTGCAGACCCAAGGCTTGGCAGGGAAGACAATGGACGGGTGGCTGGTGATTTTGAGCACACAGGAAGGCAGGTGTCCCACTTTTCATCTCTGCTTTCTACTGATTAACTGGTTGGCCTTGAGAAGTTAATTAAAATCTGCCAAATGGGGATAAAAATGAAGAGATTTTTACCTTGCAGGAAGGTCAGATGGATTAGTGGTATTAACAGTACCCGCATGAGGAGAGCCTTTAGTTGCCTGGTGATAGGTAAAGTGTGTTGAAATAATTAATTGCTATAAAAATACCAGCCTTCACAAATCTTTGTTTCAGATCAACCCAGGAAGGGGCCACAGAGCCCAGTTTCCCTGTGCCACAGCTCGGATCGTCCCCGTCCAGAGCCTGGCTAGGGCCTACAGCTCTGTTTTATGCAGGGTTCTTAGGAGAGTTGTTTCAGAGACCTTCAAAGGGCTTAGCACAGACCTGCAGGTGGAGTGAGCATTTGTCTGAATAGATAGCCCGATGGATAAGTGGAGAGATAAGTCACTGACTAGAATATTTTTACCTTGGCATTGAAGTTGCTGACAACTTCTGCTAACTATTATGAAGGGCAGGGACCTAAAAGGATGTGAAATTCAAAGTAGTATGTGTTTCCATCTCTCCTTTTACACCAGCCTCACCCCACACACTTACTACAAATATAAATAGCTGTGGTGAGAGGCTTGGGGCGGGGGGGTAGAAGGGAGTCATCATGGTTCAGTCTAAGGTTTGGGATTTTGAGCATTAATACTGGTAAATCCTGCATACCCTTGGTAGGGCATATGATGTTGGGAGCAGTGAGTGAGTTATTTAGTCTTTCTAAGCCTTAAGTTTCCTCCCCCCACAAAATGAAGATATTAAAATTCCTACCTTGCTAGGTTAATGTGAATATTTTAAAAGATAACATTTCTTAGGTAGATTCCCAAAAAGCAGAGCCTGTTTTGTCAGGATGTACAATCCCTGAGAACAAGAGTGAGGGACAAGGGGGGGAATGAAGCAGGGTAGAAGGGAGAGCCAGTATCAGAATGTGTAATCAAGTTGGCCACCACTAAGTGTGGCTCATGGCTTGATCTTGTGGGACTGCAAGAAGCTGTGCTAACTCATCTCAGGACATCTGTCCAAGGGGACACAAGTTGGGCATTAACCTCCATGACACTCTGGACTTTATATACATGAATGCCATGCAGCATTCTGTAACATTCCAATCCTTGACATCAATAGAGGCCTGTGGTGGGAGTTGAGAGTTGCATTGCCTGGACAAGCGGTAAGACTTTGTTGGTCTGTGCCAGGCTGAAGCTACTTAGAGCCCAACAGTCTGTGCCTGCTGGAAAGCTGCAACAAAAGGTGAGGCCGAGAAGGTCTGAAGTGCCTGAAAGTGGGCTTTTGCAGACCATAAAGTGTTTAGTATGGTACCTGGCACAAGAGACAGCTTAGTAGATGTTAGCCCTGATTACTTCTGATCCAGCAAGCAATATAGAGATGATCAAGAGGAGGCTAAAATAGATGGGAGTTTTCACAGAAGACTGTGACTTGATTTCTGAGTTAGCCTAACTCCTTGGAGACTTGCTTCTAATATTAAATCTACACTAGTCAGTTGTATTCAGAAGTCTCTATAGCAACCACTTTTATCACTTGAAACTAAGTACCTCTGAATAGAAGCACTCTCACATGAATGCATGCTGAGGAAAGAATATAAGGAGCTTCCCTTATTTTGCAAAAGGCTAAATTTTCTTGGTAGACGAATGTGCATTTTAAAAGAGAAGACATTTATTCCATGTCTCCTGTTTGTCAAGTCCTTTAATTTTCACAACAATCCTGTAATTGGTTTCATCCCCCATTTTACTGTTGAAGAAAGCCACAAGTGGAAAGATTAAATACCTTGTCCAATGTCATAGAGAGAGTAAGTGGTAGACCTGGGTCGCCTAAAGATGTCTCATTCCAGTGAACTGTGCACTTTCACCTTGACTCTGTGGGGAAGTTTTGATGATGAATGCACGTTTTTGAGGTGCTTTATCATATATTTTAAAATAGTCTTTAGATTATCAAAGTCTGGTGTTCAGTCACATAAATAAGAATCGGTTCTGATTTATAATAAGAATCAGGCCAAAGTTTAGTTATGAGTAAGTATCATGCCTTCATAGAAAAAAATCAAATTATGTTGACATTCTTTATAGTTTGTTAGAGACTACTTCATTATAATCAGCTCAGTTCAGTGTTCTCAGTGAGGTCATCAGATCTGACTGGCTGTGGGTGAATTGTTGTCGAAGGGTGATATTGTATGAGGGGGGCCATGTTTGAAAATAGGTATCATCAGTCCATTGATGGGAATAGGTATTTATGGAGTCTGGTCTGAGCCAGGCGTTTTTCCATATCTCTTAAAATCTCGCTGTAACACTCCATCAAATAGGCATCTTAATGCTCATTTTTCAGCTAAAGCACAGAGAGGGTGGCCTATTTGGCCAGGGTCAAAAAGCCAGTCCATGGTAGAGTTATGATTTCAACCCGAGTTCTGTCTCCACATCTGGTATTGCTGTTTGCTAAGTGGCTGCTGAGGATGCCTTCCTAAACCCTCAGTACTCAGAGTGTGGTTTGAGGCCAGTGGTGACATCCTTGTGACCTGAGAAATGCAGAGCCTCAGGCCCCACCCCAGTCCTACAGAATCAGAAACTCTGAGTGACTCAAGTCCACACAAATGTTTGAGAAGCTCTACCCTAGACATTTTCTCCCATGTAGCTGGAAAATCTACTGAAGAATCACCTGTCTGTGACCCCCATTAGGATTCTCATCTGCAGGAAGTCCTGGCTCTTGGAGCACAGGCCCAGGCTCAACCATTTTTCCTGGGAACTCCAGAAAAAGTTCTCTCTTGGAAGCTGTATAGGTGACTAATTTTAGACTTTAGACCTCGGTTTCAATGATAGTGGTCAGGTGTGCTTTTTGAGAGTGTATATGACAACACTTTGTAAAATATAAAAGCTTTGTTCATTCATTCCAAAAGCATTCGTGAAGATTCACCTTATGCCAGGCGCTGTACCCCCAAAGAATTTACAATCTAAGGGAGACGTACACCAGTAAACAGACCCTTCTAGTGAACAGGGATGTGTGCTAGCAGTCAAAAAGTACAGTGTTCTGATGGAGCACAGAGGGGCTCTATCTCACCAAAATGTATTTGGGCATTATCATTTCCATTCCTAATCTCTTCCTCTATCTGCAACAGGAACAGGATGGGGCCAATTTTCAGGTGCCGACTGGGGCCCTGGAGCCCATCTCAAAATGTGGTGACTTGGATGTCATCTTTGAATATAAAGGTTCCAGCCAGAAGCTCACAGTGACCATTGTGAGAGCGCAGGGCCTCCCAGATAAGGACCGAAGTGGTGTCAACTCCTGGCAAGTTCACGTAGTTCTGCTGCCCAGTAAGAAACAGAGGGGAAGGACAAGCATACAGAGAGGCCCCAACCCTGTTTTTAAGGAGAAGGTCACCTTCACCAAGCTGGAGCCCAGAGATGTGGCTGCCTGTGCTATCCGCTTCCGCCTGTATGCTGCCCGCAAGATGACCCGTGAGAGAATGATGGGAGAGAAGCTGTTCCATCTCAGCCACCTGAACCCAGAAGGGGAAATGAAAGTGACTCTGGTTCTGGAGCCAAGAAGCAATATCAGTGTGAGTATGTTAAATGGTGCTGCTAATGATGCGGTATGTTCAAGGATCTGGAATTGTCAGCTCTTGATTTAGTACATTCAGCCTGTGAATTCAAACACCTTAATTTAATTTTCCATTTGGCTCTCCTCATCCTTGTAAGCCATGATTTGCACTTCATGGTACAATGGGTTTTTTGTGCCCATCTTCCCTATAAGCTGATGGATGTATTCCCTGTCCATTTCTGGAAATGACAGCAACAGTGTGGGGGAAGGGCTTAACCTGTGAATAACTGACCAGTAGTCTGACGATGCTCCTCCTTTCCCACCCTTAATGTGCATTGTGATGAATCTCAGAGATGGGACTTTCAAGGGGAGCTCCTTAACGTGTGTTTGAGTAGGCTACAACAGTAGCCCTGATGTCCAGCCACTTCTAAGACCTGCCATTCATATGACTGGCCTCCTCCCACGTATCTTATCCTCTGCATCCCTGCTGGGGTCTTGAGGAAGGACAGTGTGGTGTGTATGTCTACAAGATGGAAAACTATTGATGGGGGTTAAGTGTCATCTAGTATGTAGGGCTTTGAAAAACCATGTAAAAAGATCACATAGCAATCTTGGGCTCTTGGGCCAATCCGTCATCCATTCAAAAATGTTTACTGAGTGCTTACTATGTCCAGTACTGTATAGGCAGAAGGGATGTAGGAAAGAACAAAATGGGTGATGCCTCTGCCCTCAAGAGCTTCCTGACTGGTAGAGGAGGGGAAACAATAGCAGACTAGGTACACAAAGGGAGAGAGAGAGTGATAGAGTTTGCTGTTGGTTTAGAAGGGTCAGAGAATGTGTCTTTGAAGTGGTGATCAAACACAGAACAAGACTGGTGACATGTGGATAAGCAAGGGTTCCAGACAGAGGGAATGGCACATGCAGGCATCAAGAAGCAGGAAGGAGCTTGTTCTCAGGATGAGGAAAGGAGCCAGAAAGTCTGGAGTATAGTGATGGGAGACCCACCCACTTAAATTTTTAATAGATGTCTCAAAATTAATATCCCCAGACTTGTCTCCCTAAATCTATTCTACCTGAAGCCTTCCCATCTTGGCTAAAGGAAATTTCATTCTTTTAGTTGTGAAAACCTTCGAAGTCATTTGTGACTTCTCTCCTTTCCACCTGAAATCCCATTGACTCTATCTTCAAACTATAACCAGAACCTAACTCTGCTGCATTACTGAAATGACCTCCTAGTGGCCTTCCTGCTTTGCCCCTTATAGACTATTCCCAAAACAGGGGCCAAATGAGCCTTTTAAAACATAAGCCAGATCATGTCTCATTTCTGCTTAAGTCCCTCTTTTTTCGTAAACTCTGAGCAAAGTATATCTGAAACCATGGAAAACAGAAGCCAGAGGAGGTCAGAAGGAACACGCACTTGAAGGCATGAGAATAGGTATGATCACACCCCTACTTCTCTGTGCCAGGCCCTGTGCTGGGGCCACAGAGTTGAGTGGGGAAGATGTGCCCATGTGAAAGAACCTTAAGGTAAAAATTCTTCCATTCATCAGTTACTTGTTGAGAATGTTTACATGTCAGACATTGGTCTATGCACCAGACTGAGTGATTTGTAAGGATTCAAAATGTGATGCGAGAGGCAAGCTCTGTAGTGATAGGTGCCTTGATGGATGCTTCTGTAGAGACATAGAGGAGGGGCGATCCTTACCCCAGACTAAGCAAATATGTCACTGTTGGATTATCATAAACCAGACAGCTGGGGCTATATGGTACCTATCAAAACCAGCTACCCCTATAGTTTACAAATTGTGTTTCTTGAAAGCCCAGGGCTCTACCATGGCCTGGCAAATAGGATATTTTCCTACAGATGCAAAGAGTACTTAATTCCTTTTAACGTATTTTGTTGGGGTTTTGCTAAGAAGTTTTAGGAAATGTTTTAAGATGTTGAGAAGAAATTGTGAGCTAAGTCTGATGCAGTGGTTTCTGGTGGAGGTGTTGGTGGTTCTGGGAGGCTGGCTCTCTTGCCCTCACAGTGCCATTGCCCACTGCATGCTTCTTGAGTGAGAGTCAACATCCTGGCCTACTTTGCTCTTCTCCTCCCTATATGTCTGGTGTATAAATGTGGGTACTTTGGAAAAGCGTGTGTGTGAATAAACAGGACCGAAAGCATAGTCTCTCCCCTAGGCTCACCTGGTGCATGCAATGTCTCTGAGATCCACAGTCAGTGCATTGGCTTTTTTTACGAAGCAGTCATAAAAGTGCTCATTTTCAATGTAATTCATTTCCTCAGGGGGAAAAATGTAGCATCTGGCATATTGCTGACAACCCTAGGAAGCAGAACTAGGGGCCAAATATTCTATGTGGTAGTAGACAGTAGTGGTCATTTCTTTTTCTAGTGAAGACAAAGTGCCTCCTGTATTGCTACATTCATCAGGAAGCTGCAGAGAACAGAAACAAAACTCATGCCTAGAGTGGATGGGTTCCATAGAAACATTCAAGCACAAATTACACAGGAGGGAATTTTGGTCTATATTAAATGTATTATTAGCTCTTCACATATCTTAGAGGGTTTGATTTACACTGGTAATAACATCTTTGTCCGTTTTGTCTTTAGAGAGGAAATATTGAATGGAGACGGCTCTTGAAGCAACTATGTCAGCTAATAATGCAGGGAATCTCATCCATGACTGCGCTCCCCAGGCCCATTATCATTCACACCAAGTGCGCCGTTAGTAATCTTTGGCAGCAGTCGAGATTGGGCCGCCATTTCACCAAACATAATATCGGCTTTCTGTAAGAGAGTAGTACAGCGTGGGCCAATGGACTCTTTGTTGTTCTTCCCCTCCAGAGTGGAGAGTCTCCGCTCAGCCCATCTGCAGTTTCTCACAGTGATAGTGCTTCATCCACGCAGTCGCTGTCTCATGGAGGGGCGCCAGAGCTGTTGGTGGGGCTGTCCTACAATGCCACAACGGGGCGATTATCTGTGCAAATGATCAAAGGCAGCCATTTCCGAAACCTCGCTGTTAATAGAGCGCCTGGTAAGTGCATGTCTGTACCCCCAGCTCTGGGCCTTCCAGAGGCAAGTAGAAGGCTGTGTTTGCTTTGGTGTTAATTCTTCAACTTTTGCAGATAAATTATCCTGGTATGACTTAGACATTTTTTTACAAAGTGATACCTCTGGATATTGAAAATGCATTTCTATCTCATTAAATCGAAGGCTTCTTTGATATCTGGATATATCTTGATGCAAAATAGGCTGGCCTCTACATGTATATTGTCAAAGGGAAAAAAGTGGTATGTTTTCAGCAACGTAATGTGTATGGGCAATTAAAATCTGCTAATAGGCTCTAGGCCTGCAAATACCTTAAAGAGGCAGAGCATAGGCTTTGGAGTGAGGCAGATCTGGGGTCAAATTCCAGCTCTATCCACTTACCCATTGGCTTTGCTATGATGCAGTACAATTTAATTCTTTTTTCTGAATCTTAGTAGACTCATCTGGAACAAAGGGATATTAATAGTACCTTCCTCGTGGGTTGTTTTGGGGTTTAAATAAAATGATCTCTATGAAGCAGTTAGCAAAGTGCCTAACACAGTGAGCATACAAGAAATGTTAGTGGTTATGATGTTGACAGAGGAGGAGGTGGACGAGAAGGATTTTGGGCAATACAAGTCTGACTTACCAAGAGAACTACCATTTTGGAGATTACCACTGGAAAGAGGGGCTCAAGACACTCCCATAGCCGAAGTCCTGGGTTTAGAAAGCCAGAATAAAAATACTGCTGGAAACAGCCACAACTGCCTATCAGTACCCAAGAAGTTGGAGATTGAGCATTGGAATAATGCTGCTAAAAATTAACTCTCTTTTCATGATTGTCAGCAAAAATAGCTTAAAAGAGGCCAGGAAGATGGTTTCTGCCTCACTTCTGCCCTCTAGATCTCATGCAAATACATATAACCAGAGGAACCTAATTTGTGTCTAGAATTCTAAGCCGCTAGAGAGTCTGAAAAATGTTGTTGAATTTCCAGCCTTTCAAGTTCAGAGGGTAAACTAGAAGGAGTAGAGTAGAGGGCTAGTGAGCCTGTCTGCCCCAGGGACTGGTGTCTTACTGAAATAAGGATGAAGTGGATAACAGCGTGGGAGACTGCAGGAGTCAGTCGATGGACTCTAGCCTCACATGTGAGCATTAGGTGAGGAGCCAGCCAAGCTGGTAGAAAAGGGTCAGCTTCTGTAGCCAAATCTAGGCTCCTAGTCTTCTTAGTCTTTACCTGTGCTGCAGCTTTTAGTCAGTCTGTATTAAACACCATTAGAACAAGCTACTAAGGAAAATCCAGTCCTCTGGACCACAAGAGAACAGATCCTTAGGCCATATTTTGTGATGATGCTCCTAGCCACATGAAAGTCATTTAAAAATGCATCATAGGTGCTGATTATTAGTTGCACAGCTAGTCTCTTTGCTAGACACAACTTTTAATAGTTCTATCTGGGTTTACTGCTTTTCCTTTAGAGCTTTTGCCAGTTTCTTTCCCTATCCTCCTGAAATTTGGTGAGATCTGGACAATTACTTGGGAAGAACATGGTGGAGCTGCAGAGAATGATGGGGAAGTGAATCACACAGTTATGACCTTTTCCAGTCCATGCTGGGAAGCTTTCAGCTGTGCAGAGGGTAGCAGTATGGTGGCAGAGAAAGCATCAGCTGGAGGCTAACAAACTAAGGAGTGAATTCAGGCTCAGCCACTTACTAGCTGGGAGTTATTAAACTATCCTGAATCTCAGTTTCCTCATCTGTAAAATGGGATTGTAATCATATACACTTTCTAGGTAGAAATACTACATAGAAAGCTGTGATGTTGAGGATGGTACTATGTATCATTATACATTTCTCCATAAAAGAAAACATGCCAGAGAGGAAATTCTTATAACAAATATTTAAAACTGAATCGGGAAAAAAAAAAGCAAGCCCTAATTTAGAAACTGATCTTATTCCAGGAGTTTAAGTCAGTTTGGCATTTCCTACATGATTTTTCATAGACATGGTGTCACAATTTAATTTAAACCCTAACTAACATGCTGCATCTTTTTAACCAAAGTAATAGGAGACAATGTTGCTGTGACACTATTCATTAACCCAGAAACCCAGTAGTGAAGACAAAAGGTTTTTTATGTAGAATGCTGGTACTTGAGGAAAAGCCTGTTTCATTAGGAGGGGTTGAGAAAGTAGAAGGTTCCTTTGTGGAGATTGTAAAAGGGATCTCTTGGTACTTTCAAGGGCTTCAGATGTTGATGGCACTGGTTCTTCATGATGTCTCACTTTATTATGCCACACACTACTTTGGCAGTCATCAGGCAAGCTTAGGCTACATTTTTAGTTCCCATATGGAAGAAAATAAGAGAGAGAACAGGAGTTTTATGAGACAACTGAGCAAAGTTGGAACAAAGGGAGAGAAAAGAGGATGCAAGCTGGGGGTGGAGGGTGGCCGAGGGAGACTGCCAAGTGCGCTGTCCCCACAAGGCAGAGGGAGGGCGGGAGGTGCCACCAGAGCCCTGCATCAGAGGTCAGAGTCTGCCAGGAGGTGCTGCCTGCCAGGGCAGAGGCATGTGTGGGAATACTTGTGTGAGGGTCCTAAAACCCTGTGCGTGAGACTTTGGACTCAGGGACAGTTCCCTCTTCCAAAAAGAGGGAGCCTCAACCCTGCTTTACAGACTAGCTGTGATAATCGAAGAATGGTCCTCCAGGAAGCCTGAAAGAGAAGAGGTTGAGCCTGAATATTAGGAGTTTTTCTTCTCTGAATACTGAAGTTTCTAAATATTGCTGGAAGCTGGGAGAAAGACTGGGATTTAAAAGTGAGAATCTTTTGCCTCAAAATATATCATGAAACAAAAGATAACTTTGAACTTGCCAACTTGATCCAGTTGATGACTGTTAAGATATTTTAAACTTTCTTCCTAAGCAACATAGAGGAAAGATGGGCAAATAGTAGATGAATGTCCTCTTCTCTATTGGGGCCTTAGAAGAAATAAACCACTGAAACGTAAGGCTCCCTTCTCAACTTCTGAGGTAAATCCTTGAGGGAGAGAAGTCAGAGAGGCAGGTTTTGCTTTCATGGGCAGGAGCTAGTGAGAGTATTCTTAGGTGTGAGTCTTCATGACACCTGCTAGAATGGCTGAAAGTAGTGTGGATTCCACTAAGTGCTGCTGAGGATGTGGAGAATACTTTCTTCGTGGGAATGGAGCAACCACTTTGGGAAAAGTCCTGGAAGTTTCCTACACAACTAAATTTTCACTGAAAATCCAGCAGTTCTATGTTTGGGCATTTACCCATACATTAAAAAAGAAGGAGAAGGAGAGGGAGAGGGAGAGGGAGAGGGAGAGGGAGAGGGAGAGGGAGAGGGAGAGAAGAGAGGAGAGAAGAGAGAAGAAAAGACCTGGACAAGAATGTTTAGAGCAGATTCATTCATAATGATGAAAACTGCAAAGAGCCCTCATGTCCACATGCATGAATAAACAAGTTAAGATATATTTATATAGTGGAATGCTATTCAACAACTAAAAAAGAATGAAATTAACATGGGATCTCCAAAACATACTGGATACCTACTACATGATTCCATTTATGGGGAGCTCTAAAGTAGGCAAAACTAGGGGCACCTGGGTGGCTCAGTCGGTTAAGTGTCTGACTTCAGCTCAAGTCATGATCTCACGGTTCATGGTTCGAGCCCCGCACTGGGCTCTGTGCTGACAGCTCAGAGCCTGGAGCCCGCTTCGGATTCTGTGTCTCCCCCTCTCTCTGCCCCTTCCCCGCTCATGCTCTGTCTCTCTCTCTGTCAAAAATAAACATTAAAAGATTTTTTAAAAATTAAATAGGCAAAACTCATCTATAGTGAAAACAAAAAGCAGAAGAGTGGTTGCCTGTCAAGATGAACTGGGCAGGGACGTGAAAGAATATTCCATGGTGATGGACATATTCTATATTTTGATGGGAGTATGGGTTAAATGGGTGTTTGCGTTGGTCAGAATTTACTGGACGGTACTAAGCTTTGTTCAATTGTACCTTAAAATAGAAAAAACAAAGTATTGAACTCTGGTTAGTTAAATGCATGCTGAAATGTTTAAGTATGAGTGAAGAGCAAGGATGAATATGGCTAAGATGGATTGATGGGTAGATAAATGCAGATATGTGAGAAAGAAAATTGTCTGAGTTTGGGCTACTACAACAAAAATACCGTAGACCAAGTGACTTCACAGAAATGTATTTTTCGCAGTTCTGGAGGCTGAAAAGTTCAAGATCAAAGTCCATCTGGTTCGGTTCCTGGTGAGAACCCCTCTGCCTACTTTGCAGACAGACACCTTCTTGCTGTATCCTCACATGGCAGAGAAAGAAATCATCTCTCTCATGTCTTTTCTTATAAGGGTACTATTCTCATTCATGAGGGATCCACCTTCATGACCTAATTACCTCCAAAGGTCACATATCCAAATACCATCACATTGGGGATTAAGGCTTCAGCATATGAATTTTGAGAGAATACACACATTCAGTCCATAACACAAATAAAGCAAAATATAGCAAATGAAGATCCTGGGCATAATGTGTATTGGTGTCCATTGTACAAATATTTCAAATTTTCAGTGTATTTGAATATTCTACAATATTGGGCAGAAAGCCTAGTCTGGTCTGTAATAGTTCAGCTGGGTCAGGTGGGTCAAAATAAAATGTGAGCCTCAGCTTCTGTGTTTGGAATTACATTGTTTTTGGTTATGTTGATATCTCAAGGTCCAACCTTGTTCCCCTGACTCAACCTTGGACAGGATAGAGTACCAAGCACCTACACCTGAGGGCATCTTCTGTAACACTCTCCATAAACCACATCCATTCCCAAGAGAAAGTATGTGGCTAAGGCACTGCTTGATTTCCAACGTTAACCTTTTCTCTGTTCATCCAATGGGTAGATGGATGGGTGGACAGGTAGAGCTAACTAGCTAGCTAGCTAGGTTTGTATATCTATATTTACATCTATCTATATATCTTTTTCTATCTTT